CCCCGAAGAATACACAACTTACTTCACTACAGCTGCTCCATAAGTTGAAGTGATGCCTCTAGAAGTTAGGCTGGACATCAAAGGGCCATGCTGTCAACCACTTAACTGGGATGGTCTGCCTCCATGATAATCAGCCAAGGGGGCATACTCCCCTTGAAAATGTTCAACACCAGTATTTTGTGCATGAATAACCAATAATACAGGAGCTGACAGTCGTGGAATTAAAGTGCAGGCATATTTATTGATTTTGTACCAGGTTCAAGTGCAGTGCAATATATGAATCTCCAGACCTTGGATTTGGACTAAATGCAGTCCAAAAGTAGCAACAGAATATTTCATATATGAATATGAAACCACCAGCTCACCCAAAGGAAGGTATCAAAGTTTTACATTTATAGTACTGTACTGATGGGGACTGCAGGCATAAAGTACTGTAGATACCTGCAGTAGCCTCCCAAACACTACCAAGGTCAAATACCAGCCATTTTGACAGGCAAAGCTTCAGCGCTATCTGCAAAAAGCTTGTCTGCACCTTCCTGTCTGCTGCACATTCCTATTGGCCTGTTAGGGTGCCCATCATAGCGATGGTTCAATATGAATGTCTTGGTGAGGCTTGGTGGTAAGCTCTGACACTACCCAAAAGCATTGAAGCTTTTCCAGTTAGATTTGGCCATGAGGGGAGTGGGTTTGTGGGAGGGGGGTTTATAAGGCAGTGTAGGTATGTGGAGGTACCTCCAATTTACTTTAATCACAGGGTTTCTTCAATAATTGTAACTCTTCTATTCCATTCACTTGGGGTTCTGGCAGCTTTCCTTTATAGACTCTAGTATTTCGGTTTGAAGTTTAAGGTAAGGGTGCTGTCTTGGGAGGAGGGGGCCGAGAAGTCACTTTGATGCTCCCTGGCCATTACAAGTATTTAATTGGGTAGGTTGAATGCCTGTTTCCTCTGACAAGCACTATTATCCCTCCCACTGGCCTGTAAATCTTGTAGTGTAACAGCCGGTGGAAGAGACCACAACTTACAGTGTTGGAGCAGGCGTTCTACTCTCCCAGAAGTGTACTATATACACAGCAGCTGGGAAGCGGCAAAGCAGCTCCATTTCAACATGCTGGCTATCAGAGAGGGAAGTATATTCTCTCTTTTTTACAGGTATGGTTTTGTATACATGTGACCCTGTGCTGAAAGGGGCTCTTTAAAGCCAGTCTCCAAGACAAATTTAAGCCCCAAACCCACTTCCACCCATTAAAAAAAAAACATTTAACTTGCCTGAGTCTACCATCACATGACTCTATGCAGTGATCCTTCAAGGAGTGGAGATCAGTGATCCTACACTATAATCTGGTCCCCCTGCCCTTATCATGCCACTGTAGCCTTCTGGATTCTGGAAGGACCCCCCCCCCCAAGTCCCAGGACAGCCAATGTAAAGTGTCCACATCACCCAGGAAAGGGCATGGGCACCCGAAGGATCCTTCCACTCTGCGAGGAAGAAAGGAAACTTGAGCACCAGAAAGTCCTCTGGGGGAATTGAGATTTAAATTTTTTGCAATTGCTTACAGGGGGGAGTTAAATAGGGGGAGGGGGTCGAGGAGAGGAGAACAGCTTTAAAGGAGAACTATGAGGTGAGTGCTTTTCACTCATCCTCATAGTTCTAGCCGACCTGTGACAATGAGACTGTCACAGGTCGGCTCAGTAGATCGGGAAGTGAGCGAACACTTACCGGCGACAGAGCCGTGACAGGGGAGGGACTGGATTCCCCCTCCGATCCTCCAGGGCTGACTGGCGGAACGGACGGGGGAGGGGTCGGGTACAGCTGGCTCTGCCTCTAGATAGGCAGAGTCAGCTGTCACTCACGCAGCTGGGCGGATCCAGACATAATTGTTGGGGTCTGTTTCAGCTGCGGCGTCTAAGTATACCGCGAGCTGTAGCTTGCGGTATACTGAGCTTAGGGTGACGGGAGGACGCTAGTTTGTGCCCTCCCGTTACCCTTCGGAGAACAATGGGGAAAAGACCTAACCCCCATAGTTCTCCTTTAAAGGAAACTTGTCACTTTGCACATTCAGGGCAAATTAGCACATTTTCTTGATAGTTCACCTCCTCTGACCCTCCACCAGTCCCCACACATGCTAATCTTTCCATCTGGGAGGAAGTGGAGATGGTCTAATATTATACAATGCCCGGAAGTACCAGGTATTTTACACGACAAATGAATGAGGTGGTGGCAGGAGATCAGATGAACTTTTTACCACTTCCCAAGTGAGATCTTCACTTTAAAGTAATTCTAAACTCAGGAGTTAGACCTTAAAAATACATTCAAGTACCTTAACTATTAACAATACTAGACCTTATTTGTGCATCACTCAGCTGTAGATCTTCAAATTATCTCTAAATTGTTGTTGACACTGTCCTTCTTTCTGGAGGGTGGCTACTTTTGATCCCCATAGTCCCTGTGTGTTGTGAGGTAGCCACCACTCCAAGCTCACTCTCATGATTGACTACAAATGAATAAACTAAACAAGAGATTGTAATCCATCACCGGAGCAAGCTTGGAGCGGTGACTACTTTACAACACACACAGGAACCATGTGGACAAAAGTAGCCACCCTGCAGAAGGAAGGACAGTGTCAGCACCAATTCAGAGATGATTTTAGGATCTACAGCCGAGTGATACACAAATAAGATACATTTTTGTTAATAGTTTGGGTACTTGAATTTATTTTTTAAGGTTTAATTCCTGAGTTTAGTGTCACTTTAATGTCATAACATGTAGACGTAGACTTATAAATAAATATAGTTTGACATGTGAAAATAAAATATTTAGATTTACCATATTTTATTGCCCAGAACGAAACAAATAGCAATTCTAGCAGAAGTTGGCCCATCCATGCCATTTGCCTAAGAAGAGCTACATAAACAGAGCCAAGCAACAGCAACTCTATTAAGATACATTTTTTACAGAGGAACAGATTTACAAAGCTGACCTAAGAGATTTTGAATATAGCCTGAACATCAGTGCAAGGATAAGGGTTTGAGTATTGCCAAGACCATAGCGCCATCAGTGTTTTCAAATCCAGCAATCTTAAAGATGTACAGAAGATGTATCAAAACACCCAATGTGCTTTGCTGAGAGCTGGAATTGGCCAAGCAACCTATGACTAGGTATCTCTTCCCCTTTGCCCCTGTAGCCTGGCTGTGTCTCTACACTTGGGTTGACATACTACACACTTGTGCAATTTTCTTTCTCTGATCCTCACCGATGTGTTTCGTTGTCCCTAACAGCTTAACAGCTTAGTACAGCTTCTCCTCATTGATATGAACTCTTCTATGCATTTGGCAAGGCTGAGGTCAGTCTTTGTTCAATGGTGTATATGCGCCAGCAGAGCAGTTTGCAAATACTGCTAACTTTGCTCCAAAGCATGCATACATTTACCTAATAATTGAGGATGTTGAAAGATATGATGGATATATAGATAGATAGATAGAGATAGAGAGAGAGAGAGAGAGAGAGAGAGAGAGAGAGAGAGAGAGAGAGAGAGAGATTCAAAATTGAAATCTACATTATGCACATTTCTCTCCTAAGTCACCAAAGCTGGGGTTGTGCCCAACACTCACCATATGCACTCAGACCTGGATTTACCATTATGCAAAGAGGTGGCTGTTCCCTGAATAGTTATTGGCAGCAAATGTTTCCCATCATCATTAGAAATACAGTCATCTCCTCGAAGCTTATTTACACTATCACAATATTCTAAACCTGGCTTTTCCTTCATTCCTTAGTCATAATTCTGTACAATCCAGATCTCAAACATGGTGTTTGCAACTGGTCAGGAAAAGAAACAAGTGTTAATTATACACTTCTAGAACTACACTGTCCTTTGAAATGCCAGACATGTCTTACCAGGTACAAAGTAAAGAAATTAAATTGCAGCTATTCACCCCCCTCCCCACACCACCCCCTTTGTGTAGGTCCATTTCAAGATGTCCTCTCCTCACACTTTTACATTAATCTGAATCCTAATATTCTGAATTACATTAAAGCTGAAATCCGGGATGATCAAATATTGTCTAAATACAAGAGTCTTGTGTGCTCTGACATGAATCTGGGTGAGCTTTGTGTATTTCTTCCAGGTACTACAGTACTTTTTCTTGTGCAGGGTGACTGGTCTTGTCTCCGCCTCCTCCTACAGTTTTCTTCAGTAGGTGGAGCCTGCTGGGACCCTCCCACAGCTCCGCTGTACAGGCTGTGTACAGCACAGTGATGATGTCACTGCTACGTCTACAAGGGAATATATATATATATATATATAATATATATATATATATATATATATATATATATATATATGTTTGCCTGTAAATAGGGATATTTAGATATATTTGCAATCAATACATAGAGCAAAGACATCCTGCTGCTATGACAAGGCGAAAGTAAAACACAAAGCACCCTAGTAACAGCCACCATTGAAGGGCAATATTAACAATAAAAGGTCAATCGCTGTCAGTCACATGCATGCTCCCTAGCCCTCTTCCCCCTCCTCCTACAAACACGTCACATAAAGAAGAACAAAAACAGACCTGTCTCTGTGTTCCCGCTGCTCTCCGCCATATTTGTTGTCATCCGCACACTGCCCAGAGACGCTATTGTGCCGCTGCCATAGCAACCGGTGACGTAGAGCGGCCGTAAGAAGGCTATCATTCCCGGGGCCCGGACCTGACGTCACGGAGTGGGCGGGGTTAGCGCTGTCCAGGGTGCTGGAAGTGCGGCGCGGTGTGTCGGGGCTGTGTTGGGAGACATTGTGCGGGGGAGTGTGGGGGCAGAGGGCGGGTGTCAGCGCTGTGATCTGCTGCAACACACCCGGGTGCAGTCTGTGGTGTCTGCTCTGTGACGTCAGCGCAGTGATAGACGATGGCGAGTCTGCAGGTCCTGAGGCTGTGGAATTGCGGACAGCAGCATGCCATAAGGCCCCATTCATACTTTGCCGTGCATGTCATTACATGCGCACGTCATTTTGCGTGCATTATTTGCAGTGCAAATAATGTTAGTGGCACCTAAACGCAGCAAGTAAGACCAGGGGCGTAACTAGAAATCCCAGGGCCCCATAGCAAAATTTTGTATCGCCATAGCAGCCTCCTGGGACACTATGGCAATAGTTCTGCCACTGAATAAGAGGCATGTGTTGGTGCATGCAATAACAAGCCAAAAATGTGCAGAAACGCGCATGAGCTTCTTTGTCCTGTTAGTTGAGCATACAACAGCCCACTAAAAACACACAGAGCCTCTATGCATGTCCTCACACACAGCCAGCAGGTGTGACTGGGCTGCTAAGCACATGGTACCCCAATGTGTCTTAGGGCTCATTCAGAGGTGCGTAAACGCCCGTACAACGTGCATGCTCATAAAAAGACCCTATCCCAGAGGTGACAGGTGCTGCCTGTAATTCTGCGCAGTAGCCTGTTCTTCCCTATGGGAGGATGTGGCTGCATGCAATTACATGCTGTCACAGGCTGCACAACTATGCGGGTCTGGGTGTCCGCACTTGGACACAGACAGTGTGCATGCAAGTGCAGATACCAGGATCCGTATGGTTGTACAAGTTCTGGTGACTGTGCAGTTGCGTGCAGCTGCATCCTCCCATAGGAAAGAAGATTCTGGTGTGCACAATTACATGCAGTCTTTTTACAGGCGTGCACGCCGTGCAGACATGGACACCCATCTGAATGAGCCCTTGTACTGTTTAGTGGATATGTAGTTCCACTGCTTGAGGAAGGGAGTTCCACATTGTCACTGCTCTTACTGTTAAAGGAGAACTATGGGGTTAAGGCTTTTCCCCATAGTTCTCCTTAGGGTAACGGGAGGACAGAAACTAGCGTACTCTGGTCACCCTAAGCTCAGTATACCGCGAGCTACTGCCGCAGCGGATCCCGACAATTATGTCTGGATCCACCCAGCTGCGCCCACCTGCGTCCGATCCGCCAGTCAGCACTGGAGGAGGGGGGAATCCAGCCCCTCCCCTGTCACAGCAGAGAGCTGTGACAGGACCTTCCTCAATCTAAGGTTTCTTCCAACCTCAAATTGTGGCCATGTGTCTTCTTCAGGGACCGCAGAGTAAACAGTTTACTATAGTCACCATTAGGGATGCACCATTACCGGTTTTTCAGTATCGCGTACGAGTACCGATATTTTGCTTTCGGTACTCGCCGATACCGGTGCTTCTGCTGTCATAGAGCGGCTTCACAGCCAATCAGCAAGGAGTCGGCTGTTTGGCTGACTCCATGGAGATTGGCTGGGAAGCTGGCTTCCCAGTCAGTCAGCATCGAGCCGCCTTCCCAGACAAACAGGAAGCCTGGAGGCGGGTCATTAGTCTCCACCCAGCTTCCTGATTGCCTGGGAAGCTGGCTCCATGCTCTCCTATGGCACTGCCGGTCAGCCATACTTCGGCTGCACTTCGGTCAGCAGAAGGACTTCGACTCAGCCGATCAAACCTCTGGATCAGCTGAGACGAAGCTCTGGCAGCTTACTCGCTGCCATTCGGCCCTATTCACATAGGCGAGCGACATTCGGCTCTGCTATTCTGCTCAGTACCTCCATGGTACCGAGCAGAGTAAAACATCAATTAAAAAAGTTTTTTTTTTAAAGGTTGAAAAAAAGATTTTTAAAATGTAAATAAATTGTTAAATAAAAAAATAAAGATTTTTTCAAAGAGAAAAAAAAAAACAATTGGATGGAGCTAGCAGTGACAGCTAGCTCTGCCCAACTGTTTTCTATTGGGTGGCTAGTCTTCTCCTGGACAATGAATAACAATTGGGTGGAGCCGGCCGTGACGTCACACCTGGCTCTGCCTGATTGTTATTGTTTAATGACAGTTCAGTGTCCCCAGGTCATTTGGGGATGCTGAACTGTCATTACAACTGGGCGGACCGAGCCATGAGTAATTCTACTTAAGAAATTACATTAAATTATTACATTTAAAACAATTGTTAATGGTACCATATTTCCCCTCTGCCAATCAGTTGGTACCATTCTAGTCAGTAAGGTGTCTTTGAAAATTAGAAATAGCAGCTTAACTGTATGAAAACTAAGCTCTGTTAGGACTTGTGGGTGTAAGCCATATGGACCTGGTGCACTGATTTTGCATCTCTGTTAATTCTGAAATGCCATGAATGTCCATTTCAATTTGTACATTTTAAAGTTCTGG